TATTATCCCTTCGAACATGTGACAAGTTTTCCAAATTTGAAAATTTTCTGATACTCTCATCAATATATTTACATATCTCATATCATAAATATAAACAACAAAGATTACTTTACTCATGTAAATTGGCAAGATATTCGACTTTATTTCCGTAATTTATGATAAAAGTTTACTTGGGAAAATTACTTTAAAAAATTATTAAANCTTTGCAAAAAATAAAGAATTAAATATATTTATATGTAAAAAAATACATTAAATTTTCTCAAATAATAAAACGTAATTTTATGCATTATTAAAAAAAATATTCATCGCATTTCTAAACTGAAATCACTTAAAAGCTATCATTTATTAATGCAGAGAATACCAAAAAAATTATACAATTAGTAATATGATCCGTATTTTATTTATGTAACGAGATATTTCCACATCATCAATAATAAAATATATATATGTTAATGAGCAGCTTCATGAACAATGTAACAAAATGACTTTTTCTCATTTCATTTTCTGAGAAGTGTTACTAAATGACTATTTTTAGAAATCGAATATAAATAACTAAAACCAATTTCATAATGGTTAATGTTGACCATATCTATGTATAAAAATTTAAACAAAAATTAAATTCGATTTAAATATTTATAAAAATTAAATTTCTAAATTTAGTAATCTTAATTAAAATTTATATCCTTTCTTCTTTTCTGTAACACAAATGAAATATTAATGTTTATAGAAGTTTTCTATACAATTTGTGATGTTAATGATGTAAAGATATTATCCAATGTTTTGAAAACTTTTAACTTTCCAACAAATTTGTTCATTGTTTACTGAACATAATTATCTTGTAAATATTAGAAAATGATTGCTTTTGTGAAGGATAAAACTATTATCATAACATAAAGTTATTTGTAGTTCTCAGTGGGATTCTAACAATTTTCTGTTGGAAAAAATTTATCATCATCAACACCTACTGGGATAAATGAACTAACATTAATTTGCTTGATTTATAATGTTATGATAAATATATTTTAATATATAAATAAGTTAAAATAAATTTTATATTAGTAAATACGTTCTAGAGTACTAACGACTTTTCTCTTCTTGCAAAGAAATGTTTAAAGTGTAAATTGTGGAAATTTCTAAACAATCTATCAGATATAATAATAGAATTTAGTGTTTAAAGTGATTAAAACGTTACTCAGATCTTATCTACAAGATCTTACTTCATATCTTGTGGATGTGTTAAGTTAATTTTTTCATAAATTTCATTAAAAAACAGTGTTTATTTTTAGTTTTTCAACAAAAAAACAATATCGAAATGGAACTTTACTCTTATCTTTTTACATTTATTAAATACAACAACAAAAAATAATAAGATAATATGAGATTTATCTATTCTTAGCAATTTACATAATTAGATATTTACAACACCAATTATGAGATTATAAATATTCGTAGATTAATTATATAAAGAAAATTCTATGACCATTTTTCCATATTAATTACGTTCTCAAAATTTTGTTTTTCTAAAACTCTCTTTAAATCACCCCATTCGACTTATCAACCAAATATATTGTCCATTGCCAAATTACATATTTTACTTACGTCACTAGATAAAAATTCTCTTTACATTTATATGAACAAATATGAACTTTTAGGCTACATTTGATTAAAAATAATATTTTAATTATAATAACTTAATAATAATAATAATAATAATAGGAGAACACAAAATTGCAATAATACTAAAACAGTAACAGCAGGATGTGATATTAAAACACTATTTTAACCTAACATCATCAACACTCTTTCAGCTTCACGCTGTTAATAGTAACATTAATATTAAAGCAATGTAATCTTAATAACTGCGTGATATTAAACAATAATATTAACATCGAAAAAGCATCATGATAATAACTAAATGTTACTATTATTAGCATTATCAGTAACATATATTAATGTGCTACATTAATTAATAAATAAAAAAGTTTTATAACTTTTTTTTATAATTATAAAGAAAGTTTATTATATCTTTTTAGGAACCACAATGTAATTTTCTGTAAATAGAACTGTTTACGAAGACCTTCGATCAATATCTTGCACTATACTTAAATCTTGTTTCTTCTGGACAGTTTCTTAAAACAACAACATCTTAAAAAAACAAAAAGAAAAGAACAAAAGAAAAGATAGTATTTAAAAAAATAGGAATTTCTTTCTGCTCGGAAGTGAATTTCCTATTCAAAGTAAACGTCGTTTATTTAATTAAATGAGGAAAAAAGAAAGAAAATATGGTTGATTAGAAACTGTGTTCAAACACTATTTCGCAATGGAGAGTATTTCCTGAGAAAGCTCGACCTTTTGACTGATTAAGGTTACTAATGAGTATGAAGATTAACCGTGTTGAGATCTTTTGTCTGATCATTCCTAGAAATAATGATTCGATAGGTTAAAAGTAATTATATCTTTGATTACACTTTTGCAATCATTATTAATCAACGTAAAATTTCTTTCGAAATCTTATTTTTACTTAATATTACAAGTTTAACATTCGAAACTAAAGAAATTTCTTCTTTTAGGACATTAAATGCAATGTTAAATTGGTAAATATGGTTTATTATTAATCAAGTGATATTGATCTTGAGTCAGTAAGCAATTAAAACTATAATGAAATATGTTGACTAAGTGTCTGACTCATCTGTTGTAACACTTTTGAACTATGCTACAATAATTTAATATTAAATGACGTAAGTTTTAAAACGTGCAAACTTCATGACGAGTGAGAAGAAATGATATTTTTCCTTCATTTTTTTTTAATTGTTTACGAAATTTCTAACAGAAGAGAATGAAAAGAAACTCTATAATTTAAGTCGGTGGGTGTATAAATGACGAGTGATTACTGTAAGCAGGAAGACGAAATTAAATTATATCGGATGCCCAGGCTGGTTATTAGCCAGTTGAACAAGGCTGACGTGTACAACTCACGCCACTTCGACCTTTATTGTTTGTATCCACTGGACGAAAATGCCATAAGCACTTTACGATGATTATGGAAATTTCAATACCGTGGTGACCACTACCTCAATCTTAAGTGGCAATTGACGGATATTGTCTACCCCCTTGTCGAAACCGAAAGTGCAATAGGGTATTGGATAGAATATATCATTCTCCTCTTCTATACATTAACGTTAAAGTGATTTTAAGTCGATTTATTTTATGCCAGAGGTATTTTCTATTTAATAGAACTATCTTGTCTTTATGATGTAAATGTGGTAAAAAATTTTTAAAATATATCTAAATTTATCTAGTAATATTTTTCTCGATTAATTTTTTTTATGAAGAGAATATCATATTTTGTATAAGAAAGGAAGGAGATCATAAGTCTCGGTGATTAAACAAGACTTTCTGCATTGACTTGAGATAATCGATATTATCCAATCTGCGGAATGTGACAAATTATTCATTATCTCTTCATATGTCCAATGAAGTGTGAAGGGAATTGCAAAATGTTCCCTAATTGTAAATGTGATTAATATGGAAAGTTTCATATGTGTCATTATTTTACTTTATCCAAATTAAAATTTTACATATTTTAATAACGAATTTTCAGATTAATAAATTTATCTTTTAAATCACTTCGACATTATATACCGCATATTAATTTTATATATTTTTTTTTAAATTTTATAACAAATTAAATTTAAAAAAAAACAACTGTTTAAAGAGAAGATCTATGTAACGTTTTAAAATTTTTTCTAAACTTTTTAGGCAAAAAATTTTCATAATTTTCAATATAAAAATTTTTTGGATAAAAATAATTTTTACTTGTTTAAAAATACAAATACAAAAAAAAATTAATTTATACCTTACGACTAAAAAAAATATTAATGTTTTTAAAACAATTCTTAATTATAGTTAATTATATTTTGTTTTTTCCGTAAATAATTATTAAAATCGAATTTATCAATGTATAAATATAATAAACAGCAATAAGTTTTTCTTTTGAGGAAGGAAAGAAGGAAGGGGGAAAGAAAAAAAATCTGATTAAACATCATCGAAATTTTAATCGCATTATAACATTTTTATTTTCTAAAACTTATAAAATTTCATTAACACGTATTTTACATAATAAAACAGAAAGAGAGATCAAATTAGTTCATAAAAAGTAAAGTAATCATGCTAAAGACTAAACTCGCTAGCCATAATCACGCTAATATACACGAAAAAGCGATAGAAATAATGTACTAATACTCATTTAAGCGCCAAAATCTCTCTAGGGAATAAAAATATATCGTGAATCGCTCCGAATACAAATGAATAGCTTGCTATAATATTCAAACCGAAAAAAGATGACCTTAATTATAATACGAGTTGTACCGCATTTGATGAATATAAATGCTGTATATATATTTTCTATATTTTGTGGTATTGCGCGGTAACCCAACCTGTTGTGTTATGATTTTCTTTTCTTTCTTTTTTTTTCTTTTATTATTATTATTTTTTCCCATTTAATTTCTCGCTAAATCGCTTTGCAGTTTGTTAGTGCTGACGTGCAAGATACGTCTTCACTCTAGGCTATCCATTACGGTAGACAAAAGGATGTGTTTTAGCCACTATCGTAATAGAAAAAAGTAACTCCGAGCGTACAGTAATTGACACAGTGGTTATAAAGCTAATAGAAAAAATAATCCACATTTGTTACAAAAAAATAAAGATACCGTTCTTCCATTTTCTTTAATGATGGTCATTTCATATCCTTTTCTGAAAATTTTTTTCGGTTACTTACCAAAAGAATTGTTTAACTAAATACTATCAATCAGAAATCTCATTAAACTACGTATATATTCTAATATGATTAATTATAAATCTGAATAGGAATTTAACTTTAAAAACAGCTCAAAAAATGAGTAGCCTATCAATTAATGTAATTTAATCAAATTAATCCATTTGATTGTAGAAGTTAATTTACAATTTAAAAAAAAAATAATAAAATTTATATTATTCCTTACCTATTGTCCAACTGAAAACTGTAAAGGCACAGAATTGCAAAAGAAACCAAGATATGATTGCTTTTAGTAGAAGGCATTTCTTTTTTCCCATGATTATCGAGCACCCAGTCAAATGTCTACCACGTTTAGTTTGACGAACATGGATAACTCGATGCGTGACTGAGCCGTGAGTGATACGAAATTAGTCAGGACGACAGGATATAGGTCGAATGAGCTATGACACACGATCTTCCCCTAGGATAGCGACCAATAAATGGCTCGGGGTCACGTGACAAATGGATACGTTAGCGGCGCAGCGCCTCTTCTTCACTTGTTCAGCTTCTTAAATTGGTCTGAAGATTTGCAGCTTCCTTCTCTTTAAGGTGGCAATATATATTGAAAATGCGATTCAACCGCTTTAATGTGAAAATATCCAGGAAATGTGATTCAACAGCTTAAAGAAGGAAATCAATTTAAAAATGTGATTCACCAGCAGACTTTGATAGGAAATTTCTTTACCATTAAGGACTATTTCTCCATTTAGGACTTTATCTGGAAGATTACGTATGAAAATATACGTCTAAAAATGCATTTATAAATCGATTTTAATTGTCAATTTAAGTAATTTAAGCGTTCTAAATTCGTAATACTAATTTTAAGCATTAAAAAAAAACAAAACTGCTTAATATTAAGGTTAGAAAGTTAACCTAATCCCGATTATCCGGAATCAGCCAGCAATTGACGTGGCGAACACCCGGAAGCAGTTGACATCATTAGCTTTATTAATCGACAAATAAACATATCTTCTATATGTAAATACACGGTACATGCGACACGGATAATCGGAAATCTATAACAAGTAAATGAATAATTTCTTCTCTTTCATATAAAGAGAAGAAAATAGTCGGTGATTAAACAAGACTTTCTGCATTGACTTGAGATAATCGATATTATCCAATCTGCGGAATGTGACAAATTATTCATTATCTCTTCATATGTCCAATGAAGTNGTATAATAAATATTTAAAAAAATAATAAAGAAATAAATTACTAAATAAAATTATAATTTTTTAGATATTATTGCTGGAAAAATCGCAAAAAAATCAAATATTTTTGACTCTGAGTGAAAGTAATCGTGAAAATATATTTACTTCAAAGAGATAGACGAACGTCACAGTCCATAAAAATATGTGCTGAGGTAAAAAGATCGCGAAGATCTTATAAGACAAGATTTCATAGAGTTCGAAATAAAATATTTGAAGTGATAGAAAAATTTCGTATGAATTGCGTCATAAGTTTAATGATGCTAAAATTTCATATGCTTAAAACGTATTGTTATATACGTATACAGTATGAAGAATTAATGTATAAATTTCTTCAGTTAATAATAAATTAATTGATTGCAAACATAATATCTATACATTGAAAAAAATTAGTTAATTCTTGATTAGATACTTATAATTACTTAATCTTATAATCAAACTTTTTACAAAAATTGTTCGTATTAATGTTTACTTTCTCCAGATTGAAACAGAATCCCGATAGATCTAATTTAATCAGTGTTTTAATAAAAATTTCGTTCATAAAATTGCCTAGAATTAATTAATTAAAAAAATTCGTTTTATAATTAGAATCTTCAGTTATTCGATAAGGAAGCTATTGGTGAATTGTTGTATATATATATATTACATGATTTATATATTCATTATATATCGTTATTATGAAATAATAATGCTTGTGTATATATATATATATTAATAATTATATATATTTAAGCAAACATATCAGGTTATGTCTAACAGATTTGATAAATATCAATAGATCTGTTATATATATATCAATATATCAAAACTATTTATTAAAAACGTTATATATATATACACCATGCTTATATATAATACACATATATGTATATATATATTACAGAAATATTTATATAAACATAAATTATTATTTCGATATATATTATATATTCACATGACAAATATACTGTACTGCATATAGTGTTATTCTACTACAAATGTTGAGTAGAGTAACAGTTGCTCTCTTCGAGCATTTATTTTACGATTAAAATTAATTATTGGTTATTTTTATTATAAATTTCCTGTTTCATTTTAGGACATTTTGATTGTTACACTTAAGATCTATTACTGAATATAGTTATAATTTTTTAAAAGATTTATAGAATATCACAAAGTCACAAATTCCAGAAAGAAAAAAGTTTCGAATGTCCTAGATTAAAAGAAATCAAGCAAACAAATCATTTGTTGATCATGCTCTAAATCTAGATTCAGAAAAATAATTGAACTGTTTTAAACAAATAATGTTTTTCAGTTAAGGAAACAATTTTTATCAAAGATTTAATGTTTATTTTATTGTAAATGTATGTTTTAAATTAAACTTTTGTTTTTTCTAAACCTTTGAATAGTAATTATCTTTTGTTAAAAATGACTATTGATTGATTAAATACGTTTTGCATTTTGGTGCTAACGAGATAATCTAATATAAAGAGGAGAAAAGTAAAGAAACGAGATATTGCTTTAATATAGTAAACATGAGAACAATAAGTACAATTTCCTAAATAAAAGACAAACAAATGGAGAGTGGAAGTAAGAAAATCTTTTTGCAATATATATTTAATTACAGAATATTTATCATCAGGAGCTGAGAGTTTTGAGATGAGAGCTGAGTTTATCACAAATATGGAGTCCTCTTCCTCTGTAGAAACTATAAAAACTGATGAGTAAAATCAATAAGGTAAATAATAAAAGATTTTTTACAAGTAATCAAATGAAATTTTAATTGTGATATCTCACTACATATTTTTACGTAAAACACCAAATTTCGGGTTCTCTAGTGGTCTTGTTGGCCCTTCGTAATTGCAAGACAACTTCATTAAAATAAATTTATTGATTTATGATGCTAAAAAAATGGATTAAACAATAATATAAATTTAAAAAATGCAACAACTTANTTACAATTACTTATAAATAAAACATTATAGATTTAAAAAATAATAATAAAAAGAAAATTTTATTTTGTAAATCATTTTATAAGTTTTGTTTATTTTAAAATTTCTAAATATAAAAATTCTTCTTTTAATTTAGATGACAATTTGAGTTGACGAAATTTCATTAAAATTTAGAATAAATAAAATGATTTTTCTAAATTACTATATTCTTTATTTAGAAATGAAGTATTAAATAAATAAAATAAACAATTCAAACTTGATTTATTTCATTCTTTTTCAACTAAAGTTAATTAATTTGTTTATTAATTATTTATAACTAAATTAATTAGGATTACTCTGAATGTAAATATTTAGTGTAATCTTTCATACGAAACAAGTCGACATTAATCATTTATTTTTAATGTCCCTATTGATTTATATTATTTTTCTTGATGTATAAAGTAATATTAATGAAAATATATACTTACATAAGATTATTTATATTCTTAGCAAGCACTTATTTTTGTATTTAAAGTTTTGTGGCGATGCTTTTGCATATTAAATTATATTTTTATGGTTTATAGTTATTTCCTAGACGGAAAAAAAATGATAGAAACTTTTTAGAAATGAAAACATGCAAAAGCGAGTGTTTATTTCGTGTTCGTTCAATTACGTAATGTATTTCATTCATTCGAATTTTCAGCGCGTGAAAAAGAGTGAAAGTAAACGTTCTCTTTCATTCCATTTTGCTCTCATTCATTCATTCATTAAAATCTTTAATTTTTTTCTTCTTTTTTTTCAATTTTAATTCATAAAATAACTAATTTGTTTAATTCAGAAATTTTTATAAAAATTGTTTTACAAATTTAAAATGTGATTCATACAAAATGTACAATATTTAAATTTGTTTACAATTTATTATTATAAATATGAGATATCTGTTTTTATGACACATTCTTATATTACTCATCAAGTAAATTAAACGTTTTATTTTATATTTAATATTATCATAATATAATATTATTTTTAAAAATTCAAAAGCCAAATCCAAATTGAATTTCTACTATAACAAATGACAGCCATTTTACTTATTTTTATATACAAATAGGTATGGAAGAAATTATAACATTTTCCAAATCGAATTATGCAATTTCGCATACACGTCTTACTCAAAACTTCTAACGATAAATCAATGATGGAATTTCCGAAGAGCAAATATATATAATCATGCATGAAAGATAAAGGGGCTAGATAAAACAATATATTTCACAAAATGTTCAGGAAATAAATAAAACAGATCAAGTGGTGAATTATATACATTATTGCAGAAAGACAGGAGAAATATGTTATCCACATTTAGTTGAAATAATCGATGTTATTTGTGCATTTGAGCGAAACAAATATCCTTTTCTGTTCACTGAAACATTATTTTCCATTAAATTTTAATTATTGAAGTTTGAAAGATAAAAGAAAAATTCCATTTCCACTAAGAATACTAAAAATATATTAAATTGCTTTTCTGCTTTTATATCATAACAGTTCATTAAAGAGTGAAACTTATCCAGTTTCATGTATTAGTAGCTTATCACGCCAAACTTTAAAGCATTGAAGAATAAAATTCTGTTTTTTTATTATTAAAACATTGCAATCTCCTTTGAAATATTTACAATTTTTTTGGCATTTTTGATGTTTTCAAATTATTAAAATATTATTTTTGTATGTTTTAATTATTAGTTAAAGTGTCTGCCTTTCTTTTATACTATATCCTATTTAAAATGTTGTAACAAAATTTCATGCAAAATAAGTCTAGTTAATTATTCAAAAAGTTTTACATAAAGTTTACAATAATACAAAGAAAGTTCTTAGATATTATTGTGCACTTACAATAGATAACAAGCAAAGTTCGAACAGTAAATTTCTTTTTAAGCTGTTACTTAAGAGCCTGAGCAATTTCAATAGGTTAGTAACGAGTAAATAACATTAATAATACTCTAATAATTTGATATTTTTAAGTAAAACAAGCAAATTAAGCAAAAGATAAATTTTATTTTATAGGAATATGCATAATATATTTTTAAAAGGGAAAATAACTTCAGACTCTTCTCTTCTCAATATTGCCTTATGATAATTAAAGTAAATAATACTTGGAATAATATCATTAAACAGAATAGATTTTCTAGGTATATTATCCTATAGATAACAATTCTTCGAATGTATAAGTTTAGAATCAGATGATAAATACAAGTGAATTATAGTTCAAATATTTGAATTTTGTATATATAGAAAAATTCTGTTGAAAAAGATGATAATGTTTTATTATTCATGGAAGATTCATATAAATAAAAAAAAATTCTTCTAGCAATCATTCAAGATTTTGTTTGTATATAAACATAATATCTTGTATTGATGTATGGAGTGGAGTTTGGTATGCAGACAAAACAAAACTCCACTTCTATAGGATATAGTGATAA